AGAGACAAACACAACACTAACATTATATCTAACTTTTATACACATTTGTCATAATATCATTGTCTTGTGTGATTACTCAGCAGACAGCTAATCACTGAACACATTTTTCAATCATTTAAAACAAAATCTCTACGCAGATTTTATATTTGCTTCTTTATTATGCTTAAGTTAGAGATTTTAATTCATTTCAGTGTAGACTTTTTCACTTATCTTGTGTAGTATGCTCCTCATTCCTATTTGTTCTGTAACATCTGAAATATATCCACTTTGGGAAATTTAATTCAATTTGAAACCATAGCACGATTGTCGAGCGTCATCTATATCGACAAACAACTAAACCAACTCAAATAACACATGAAAGCTGTCTGGTTATCTCATTTTCCGAAGCATGACGCTCTTATTACACACTCTGTCAATAACAACGCTGGCTAGATTCTGATCAGTATTTTGTTTCCAGCTGATTTCAGTGAAAGATCTAAGAGCCTAGAGCAGGATATAAAGTTTGATAAAGCTGAAGAGGAGAGATTAGAACAAATGGAATCGGAGTTTGATGGAGTGACGTTGTGGGGGGTGGAGGGGGTGGAGTAGGCGGGAGAGAGAAACCCCAGTCTCGCAAGTGGCTCACCTGGCAGATGGTTCCACTGGCAGAGCTCAGCGTGCATCGGAGCTGCTCCTGCAATATGGCCGATCGAATCCAGATTGTCACACTGTTGTTGTGACAAACGGAGCAGGAAGTTGCTGATGTGTGTGTTTTGCGTTCTGTCTTTTTGTGTTAGAGCGAGAACACACAGCATATGGCACTTTGGAAATATCAAAGTCATTGGTTTTCATAAAGGGAGAGACACAGGTTTTTAAAAAAGTTTGATGATTTTAGAATTAGGGAGGGTATATTGGCAAAAGAAGATAATACTTTCTTGTTTCCTTACATTTTTCTTACATATTTTTCTTGTATGTGTGTTGATTGATTTTATTAGTGGATTGATTTTACTAGTTGTCTATATCTCATAAGGTTTCAGGGCTTTTGATCTTTTTCACTTTATATATTTCTGAAAATAAAATGAAAAACAAATTCGCCCAGTTGGAAGAGTAGGTATCTCGGACCTTACAAATTCGTCAAATTCGCCAACGCAGATCAGAGAATCAAACTGTTCAAACACAAGAAATAAAAAAAAAAAACACATAGAAATATTGGTGGGATGATGACCAATGTCCATGAATATTGATAAAGTCCATAAATGAAGATCTGAATTTACTTTTTACACTGACGTCATTTATCGGGTCATGGCAGAAAAATGTCATTGATATGAGCGTATAAACCTGGATTGGAATCAAATTACATTCAAAGTCTTTTTATTTGTTCTGAGATTCTTGATCCCACAAAAGAGAACTGGAGGAATGTTGTTTGGAGTGCAAACATTGATGAAATTGAGCCATCATTCCCTCCTCCATGCCCTCTGGAGTCCCCCGAGGTTACTCAAAACCCTGACCCAGAATCTGCAGACGTCATTTGATCCGTGCCTCAGCATCTCATCACAGGATCTCAACTCAGCCGCGGTCCTCGTAATGGAAGTCTCTAATTTACAGTTTGTGTATGGTTGCCGATAAGCTGAGTAACATATGTCAATTGGATGCTATATCTAAACTGCATTTCATAGGGATTGAGTTACCTAGTTGTTGGGACAATTAGGGTCAGACTGAGGCAGGTCAGCCGGAGAGACAGACTGTGATAATGTGGGCAGATGCTTGTATTTGTACAGCTTTTTGGGTGAATGGCCTTTGCAAAGCTTTATTTGCTCTGTGGATTAAATGTTTAATGGATTTTGGAGCAGGAGATACTTAGAGAGAAAAACGTGCATGAAAAAACCTCTTCCCTTTATACCACGTCTCAGACCAGCAGTGATTTGTCAGCACTGAAGGTAGCATCTGTTCTTTAACATTGTAATTTCTTTGATCGTAATTATTCTTGCCACCTCAGACCTTGCCATCCTCCTGCTCCGTGAAGCAATATGGGCAAGGAGAGGAAGGCGAGCAGAGCTGGTCTCAGGGAAAAAAAGTTCTTTGATATTGGTGTGCAGTGGTGTGGGAATTATGGACATATGCACAGCTTCTCATGGCTCCACTGCATCAATCAATTGAATTATTTTTTTGCTCATTTGCACATGCAGGCGCCTTGGGCAGCAAATGTGATGCCAGGTCTGTTATTGATGCTTAGAAACAACATCAGTGTTGAAAGCCAAGAAAAAAAACTTGTATGTTTTAGAGGAGAACATTATCCAGACATTTGAACTCTTGGTAATGTAAATGTTGCTTGCTAGGACAGAGGTAAAAAAGAAAAAGCACAAGTCACCCTCACGAGAGGCAGATTAGATGAAAGACTTACATACCAGGAGTAATTTTCATGGACAGCAGAAGGAACACAAATATTTTTTTCACCTTTATTTTTCAGTTTTTGAGCTTTTACTTAGGTCAAATTGATCTGTCGTTTCTGAATATAGGTTTGTCATTGTTAAATCACTGAATGAGATTAACTGATTCTTAAGTTTAAAGTTAATGAGGAAACACATCTTTGCATCTGATTCAAGAAGACTGGCCTTCAGATTTCACAATACTCTTTTTTTCATCCGCGTCCATAGACCGAGCCCCTAGTCGCCGTCTGTCTCCTTCTCTTTATCGCTTGTTCTTTCTTTGTGCACTTAAGAAATATCCTTGCCTGGTGTACGCTCTCTTGCAACCCCTTAGTCCGCCTTATTCTGTGGTTGCTGAATAATAGAAGAAGCTGCCTATTGCACTTGGTCTGCATGGGTTTACATCACGGCACTGGAGGTCACTTTGACTTTTCCCCCTCTTCCTTCCTCTCATCGTATATGCAACGCAGCAGCTTTGGTGGTTAGCTTTGGCCGGCTTGAGGTCACCATTAGCCGTAGAAGAACATCGCTGAGATTTATGGACGAGCTGGAGTATGAGTGGGAGGAGTTGCAAAGCCCAGGCTCTTGACGCTGACATAGGGGCTGTATCTCCATGTATTATGCATATGGCGGCGGTAGGATGCTGACATGGTGCTGGTGATGTGCTGGAATGGCTCCCCTATGCCACATTTACTCGTACCCACCATCCTGCTCTTATTAAGGGCACAGCACGTTGCAGTGACATGCTGTTGTTTTACAGGTCCCTGTAGACGCAGCCTCCGCTACTCTACCGGAAAGATTTGCAGCCAAGCCGAGAGTCGTAAAATCCCCAATATCTGCAATGACCAATAAACCAAACAACAAGAACGGAAAAAAAGGCAATTATGTTACTTGTTATTAACGTAACATGATGCATGACTTGTGCCAAAAAGGCGCTGCCAATGGAACAGATTTACAATGAGTGTGCTCTATAGCTTCAGACTTCCATCATTAATCTAAAAGCTGCTTGTAAGAATTCCCTGGTCCCAAGAAAATGTCACTGTTTAAATTGACTATGCAGTATAATTATATGAAGAGCTAAATCTCTTGTGCTATATCAAAATCACCATAAGCAGTAAAGCCTCAACTATTGAACACAAAGGGTTGGTCCTTTTCTTCTCCTATAGGGAATACGCCTGTAGAGCATATGGCAAACACCCGACATCAATACATTGAGGTAAAGTCCAGGATTCTAAAGACATAAGATCCATTTGAGTCGTTTCAAAGCAAAGGTCAGGGGGGTTAAGTCATTGCAAATTACATAGAGCTGAAATTTACTGAATAATTTCTAATCTCAGAATGGAAATAACACATTAAACACGTGCATATTTAATTGGGAGCTTTGTACATTTTGTAGAAAACTTAAAAACCAGAGTGCAGAGGCTGGAGCACATGTAAACTCCATCGAAAAGCGTCTCTCAGGATTTTCTGAGCAATCGATAGAAGACAGGACCCAATTTACTGGGCAACATACAATCCTTATATTACTCCAGTATGACTGAGCAGGATCTATTTTTCTTTGACTCATTGATCTGATGCATTTCCTCGTTTGACCTCAGAAGCTTCTGCCTGTAGGGAAAAATGCCACACAGATAAATTGCGGCCATCAAGATCACAACACTCTCCTGTTTCAATAATCTCTCCTCAGTCTCTTGTGTCTTGCTCTGACATTTACAGACAAGCACTGGTTAATGAAGACTTTAGCATTCTCTTGGGCTCATCACTGTCTCAGCAAGGGCCTGCTGCTGCCTACCCCCTCCTCTGGACATCATGACCTACTTCTGTCCTCACAACACTGAACACAGGCCTACTAATTGCCTTCATTTATTCATTTGAAAGTCAAGTTCTGTTGCGTCCAACGCCAGCATGTTCATTCATGTGTAATCGGTACAACGGTATCCCTCCCCCAGTGAAGCGTGTGTGATTCAGGACACACACTAAATATCCCAGACACAGTAGTAACAATCGTGAAAGAAAGTTCTTTGAATAATACAAAACAAAACATTTTGTAATGCTAAATAGACATGAACGGTGAGAGAGATATATAATCTTAACTTTTATTATGGTTGTCAGTCCAAACAGCCTTTGATTTTACCCATGTATAAATCCATATGTCGATGTGTGTATGTTCTGTGCAGGGCAACTAATTATTTCAATCAGTATCATATATTTTAGTCTTATCTTATCATATAATTTATAGAAATATATCACATTTCTGTCTCTAATCTTAATTTTAGTAGTTATTTAACTTATGTTTATTATACAATGTGAGGCCTGTAGCTGTTGATTATTTGAATAACCAAGTAAAAACCCAGATTGACCTGGTTTGAACCTGGTTTAGATGTGGTTCTTGAAGACTTCTGTGCTCGGCCTACAGACTATCAGCCTCCACTGCCTCCTGACCTTTTCGAGCTCCTGGTATCTGCGGGGTCTGTTGTATTGTCTCATCTGTGATGGAATGCCTTTTAGAGATCATTTTATCCGTCTCTTGCTTCACTGTTCACATGATCTGGGATGCCCAAACTTTTTCACCCGACTATATGCTGATGTCATAGAATGCCTCTGCCTCCACTGATCCCCAAAGAGGTCAGGGATCCTGTTTGTGAAGCCCCACATCCTCTCTCTCTCTCAACCACCCCCCCCACGTCTCTCTCTCTCTGTCTCTCTCTGTCTCTCTCGCCCCTCGCTGTGATTGGTGCCCATGAGAGCCCCAAGGGCCCGTGGCCGCGCTCCTGTGCTGTGAGTGTGAATGAGTCACGTCTCGGCTGGAGCGTGTCTGAGTGGCGAGGCGGAGAATTCAGCGGGGCCAAGAGCTGCCTCTGTAATCCCGGGTAAACACTGAGCAGCATGACTGCACGCCTAAGACGTGACCAAAGCCGGAGAAACTCAAATGGATGAAACGATGAGAGTGAGACTGCCTGTCTGCCTCCTGCTCCACGACGTCCTCTTCTCTCCTCTTGTTTTTCCTTTTGCACTTTTGAAATCCACAGGACACCCAGAATTCTGAAACTACTAGAATTCCTATTCATATTAATGGACATCTACAGTTTCGGCTTTTAACTTCCACACATGCAAAACTGGTTCATATAAATTAAATATAGCTAAACTAAATGTTAACTGCTGCAAGTAAACAGTGTGTTGCTATGGTAACAGAACTTTCTCCAAGCTGAGATTTCTCTGAACTAGTATAAAACCAGTCTAGGATGGCGATAGTGAGTTTTACTGTATTTATGAAACTAAGTTATGAAGACCAAAAACCTACATAAACAGAGTAATTACACTTACCCCAAAAGGAAATGCCGTCAAATTGACTGCTCTGGGTGACTTTGCAAAACAATACAGTGCAACCTCTTGAGTTTTTATGAAAAGTCTTTAATCATTGTGACAACCATCTGAGGTAAAGTCCGAGCTGCAAGGGATTTCTAAAGCCTAGCGTACATCGACAGAGTAACTGGAGACAACTAGTTGCAAGGCAGCTTTTGGCAACTGAGAGTAGATGATCAGTTGCCGAAATCGGTCGATGTTAGCGCTCTTACAACTGGAGATAAACAGTCGGTCTCCGGTTTCAGTCAGTTGCCCGTGTTCTACTTTTCGGCAACTAGTTGTCCTCTACACTTGATGTCAGAAAACACAGGCTTTTCAACGTTTCAACCCAGTCCTACTTTAGTCCTGGTTCAGACCTGCTTTAGTCCTGCTTTAGTCCAGGTTTTGTCCTGGTTCAGTCTAGCTTTACTCCAGCTGTAGTCCTGCTTTAGTCCAGCTTTAGTCCTGATTCAGTTCAGCTGCTTTAGTCCTGGGTCAGACCTGCTTTAGTCCTGCTTTAGTCCATCTTTAGTCCTGGTTCAGTCTAGCTTTAGTCCTCCTGTAGTCCTGCTTTAGTCCAGCTTTAGTCCTGATTCAGTTCAGATGTAGTCCTGCTTTAGTCCTGGGTCAGACCTGTATTCACCCATTTAACTCTGCTTCAGTAGAGAACAAACAAAGAGAATTTGTGAGATTGACATATTGTAAATTAAATACAACAAACAAAACATTTCATGTCAGAATTATACAAAGGACAACTTCGATAGAAAGAATTCAATTTGTCAGTGTTGTGTTTTTTATTTTTGTGAAACCTTGACTTAAAAAGCAGAAGTGAAGCGTGCATAAACAGAAGGAGGATTTACAGGCAGATTATTTGAGGACATTTATAAGAACGAGGGACATTACTAAAAAGAAAAACACAGAAGATAACACATGCCGCCAAAATCTCACTATTAACAATGTGTCCAGACTGAAAACCTTTAGCAGCAAAAGCCCTGAAGAAACTTTCTGATCTAAATGCCATGTGTTGGCAATAAACAAAAGCCTTTTCTGTGACTCATTGTGTATCGTGTTTGTCTGGAGGTACAGAAACTCAGATTTTCCATCAAGAGCAGAGCATTTTAGAGATTTTCTTTAACTTCCATTGTTTTTTGTTCTCTTTTTGTTCATTTGCAATTATAATGAGACTTTTTATGTTTTATAGTGAAACATTAATGCTGCTTTCTGCCTGTGTAAATTGTAAGCTGCAACCAATATTCATTTGGTTCGTTGACAAAAACTATAATAAAAGCATTTCGTCAACAAAGCTGTTTTGTGGACAAAGACGTAAGTTGAATAAAAAAATACTTGAATGTTGACCATTAAATAACTGCATTTTCTCAACAAATAAAAGAAGAGACAAACAACCACTGACAAAAAACGGGCAGAAGGAGCGATTCGAGAGCCAATCATGGCCCGCTTTGGTCCGCGGTCTTAGATAGATAGATAATTTTAGTATATTACATTATATAGTATCTTGCGTTCAAGGATACCCAGGATATTGCCATGGTTTAGATTTATTTCCTGTTTTTTTTAATAGTTTGTTTATCCTTGTGTCTTCTTTAGTTCTACTTCCTGTTTCCTGATTCAGCCCCGCCCTCATTAGCATCACCTGTGTCTCGTTAGTCTTCTACCTATACCATGGATCTATTATAATAACTGGATAGGGTATTACTAGCTTGGAGCTGAAGGACCCATGTGCTCGAGGGATTCTCGCGGTACTGCAGACTAAATAAGACTAAATTCACGTGGGCTACCCCGCTAATATGTCAGCGACCGTGCCGGTACATGCGCCACTGAGCACATGCCATTCATTTGATTACGCCGCCATCTTGGATCGCAGGGGCTTGATTTAAACCCTGTTTGTTCCTTGACTCCCTGTTCCGTCATTGTCATTCCCACATCAGTTCTAGTTCTTGTCCTCGAGCCCCGTTTTGTAACTTTGATGTAATTTTCTTTCATTTTTGTTTTTGTAGTACATTTTATTATTATTTTATTTCAGTTTTGCATTTTGGGTTTATTTTGTTTTGCCACGTAACAGGTATAAGACACTATTAACACAAGTACAAAGGTACTGGCCAACATCAAGATGAGATGAACATTTCAGTATATTCATTAATTTTTTGTCTTTGTTAAAGTACAGATGAAAAATCTTTAATCATTGTAACAACCATATGAGGTAAAGTCTGAGCTGCCTGCAAGGGATTTCTTAAGCAGCAGGACCTACATCTTTAAACAAAATACAACTCGGAATGTTATGGACAAAAGTAAAAAAAAAAAAAAAAAATTCTGTATAGTTGCAGGCTTTTCATTGTTTCAGTCCAGTCCTGCTTTAGTCCAGCTTTAGTCCTGGTTCAGAAGTTTGTGCCATGAAGTTCCTGATAATAGTTGCATGTTAAAAAGTTCCAAAAAGTTGTTTTTCGTTTTTAATTATACTTAGTTAGAGCAGATTTGTTCTCAGATGGTTCCAGGCGGCGCAGAATATGCTGAGACCCTTCAGTGCCTTATGTTGCGGTCCGAGTGTGGTGAGGACAGATGGACAGGAGATGCTAGAGTGGATCTGGAGCTAGACCAGGCCTCTCAGTGTCCGTCCATCCGCCCTTGTCTTTGGCCCAGGCTCAAGCTCCGCAGCCAGACATCCTGACGGTCAGCCAAAAAAAATCCCCCTTCATCCTGTCACAGCCCGATCGCGGCCGGACCCCCACATTAGCACCTGACACTCCTGTCTGCATTTAACCTTTACTTATACCAACGCATCTCGCTGAGCCAAAAACAGTCACCTTTTGAGCCATGGTTTTCTTATTGGCACATAATCAATGCTGGAAAGGATTGTTCTGAACCCACAGTTGGGCTGTATTATGTATCATTAAGAATTTCAGTGGTCGCAATTTGCAAATTGCCAAGACTGCTATTATATAGATTACATTATTTCCTTAAAGACCTGTTTCTGCAAGGTTTGAATGTTTAGCACCGCCCCTCAACTCGCTCACAGGCTTCACATTTCCCGTACGCTCTCATCCCACGGAGCCATCTAGTTTTATTTCCGATCTGATACATATGCAAACATTAGCATGAGCTGTACAATAATCAATGATGAAATGGTACAAAAGCAACGCACTGCTACCAAAATATAGAAATTAAAGATTACCGCTAGTTTCGCGTCCAAATGTAGTCCGAGGCGGTCCCCCAGGTCTCTCCCATAGACAGAGGATACGATGTAAGCAAGCTACAGTATGTTCACCCGGGCTTGATTTCTTCTTTGATAATGTTTTTTGCTTTTCCCTCTTCTCTTCCTCACTGTTGTGTCGTTTGGGCTGTTTTGCTGTGTCTGCAGTTACAGCCAGAGGAGCTATACAGTCACTTTCTGCCTCCATTCTGCTCTTGTTCACCTGCGCTGTAGAGGCTAGAGGGCGCAGCCTCGTTCTGTGAATGGAGGAGAGCTGGCTTTAAGTCTCTGCAGCGCTTTTTACGGCCTGAATTCATACACAAGCTGTATCAATGAGCTCAAGTTTTCAATTAAATTACGGATTATAATTCAACTTGTATGTAGTAATAAGCATTTTTATGAACTCATAAAAATAAAAAAAATCGGGTATAGCTTCTTTAACAAACATAAAATGTTCTTGTTGCATATTGTAAATCCAGCAATTTTTATGTTTTTGTTTATGTCTGACAGAAGGCTAAGAAATACTACCACTGTGACTGCAAAAACTACCCTGTTGTATCACACACGGCTTTACAAGGACATTGGCTTCAGCTAGTCAATATTCAAATCAGCTTATTCCACATTTGGAAAACACAGAGTGACGTCAGCACATAAATATGTTTTAATTTACTGGTACCCCATATACTCTGCAAAAAGTGATACAAAATATGTCTAAAAATTGCTTAAATTTGGCAAAATTTGCTGCTAAAATTAAGATAAAAACTATTTCATTTCAGCATTTATTACCACATATTGTATCTTTTTTTGCTGTGTATTAGCGCTGATGTTTCTCCCTCACATTCATGAATTCTCCTCGTGTACTTTGAACACAGAGCTTCATAGCTAAAAACGCAAACTGAATCGCAAATATATAATCAAAATCATGCAGCCCTTGGTTACTGATGTTTTGTTAGCGCTGGGGTTTGTCAGGTTAGTGATATATTTAGGTGCCAGGGAAATGTACAATGAAAAATGAGATTGTGTCATCTCTTGGAAGGTGTTTTATTTTATGCCCCCTTCACCTATGCATGACAGTTTTACGATTCCATTAATGTCCTTTGATGAAGTAACTACTGTACGTTTGGAGGTGCTTACTGTATATTCACTGTATCCCGTCGTGCTTGCTTCTGAGAATCTCCGCACTTGTTCTCAGATTGAAATACTTTTTTTTTTTACTGTTCTGTCATTGCCACACGCATGATAAATATAAAAACGAGGCACAGACTGGGAACAATGGCGTATGGAACATGTGTCTTCAGGCCCTCTGCTGTAACTCACTCTTCTCCCTTCTATAGCATGTTTGAGGGTCATTCTGTCCCCCAACATAAAATATGCTAATGAAATTAAATAGGGTTGCGTTTGAGGTTTTGATGCTGGCTGAATCCTTGATGACTTCCAATGCCATCCTGTAAAAAAAAAAAAAAGACGAAGATTAATTTTGGAATGTCGGCTGCAACACTGGAGTGATAAATTACTCCTGGATTCAACCATTTAAATGAACAAGACAGGGGAGGGAGGAAAACACAGAGAACCAAATATGGGCGCATAATTAATACATTTGGATCATTTAATTAGCCACCCAAACAGAGGTTAGGCTGAGCTGCACTGTGTCTGTGCTTTGTTCGAGTAATAGGCCACAGACGGCGCTTTCTTACAGAGGCAACTATAATGAGCCCCAGTGGTGATAAAGAGAAGGCTGAGGCATTGGTAAATATGTGAGAACAGCTTGAACAACCAGTACTCGTCCTTTTGAAGCTTTGTGCTGTAGTAGTTTTGTACAACGGAAGTTCAATGACACGTTGGTTGCGTTCATATTTCCTATTTACAAATCAAATCCTGTCAAACCTCCGCAGCTAAGCAGGGCAGGGCTTGGTTTGTATGGTGATGGGATTACTCTAGGAACACCAGGGGCCACAGTGGGGCGGGTGTAAAGTGCCAAAGTGTTGTTCATTCAATGTATTCTTGAACAGTCCTAGATCACAACAGTAGTTATCTCAGAGGACTTTACACAACCGTCGAAATTGCCAACACGGATTAGAGAATTGAACAGTTCAAACACAAGAAATAAAACAAAACACATTGGTATTGGTAATGTCCTTAAGTGTTAATACATATCCATAAATGCTGTTGATTGTTGAGTGTCCTGGATCATCACCACTGTCCTTTTAGTTCATGGATGTCAAAGTCAAGGTCCGGGGGCCAGATCCGGCCCGCAAATGAATTATCTTGGCCCCCGGGATGATATTTGATTAGTATTAGAAACGGCCCGCAAAGAGCCGTAAGAAAATATTAGATTATTAATTCAATGTTCAAGACATGTGTTTTCTCTTTGAAGGAAGTTAATTTTTGTCTGTGAGCCTGTTGAAATTACTTAAAGAGCCATACAACAATATTGGATTATCCAGTTAATCATTAAATAAAACGCAGTACACTGTGTTACATGTAGGTCTTGGTTCTACTTGTTATATGCAGTAATTTTAATGTTTTAATACACTTTGAACCAGTCTGGCCCTCGGCTTGTTGCAAATTTATTTTTTGGCCTCATATATATTTGACTTTTACATCCCTGTTTTGGGTGGATTATTATTAAATCTATTTTTTTCTCTGTTTCAGAACGATGTGAAAAACCTGTGTGGACTCTCAAAGGATATATTTTTCTCCATCTATCTGGAACATACTAGGCTGTTGATTTGGTCAAGCTCAATTATATTTGACCCGCTGGGATGACAACGTGCTCGGACAAGAGATGGACTTATTGTGGCCTGGCAAAGGGTCATCGTAAACTTAAAGTCATGCAATGGCCTTTGTTATTTTTGACTTTCATTTGTGCGAATCAAAAAACAACTCTGAGCCAGACTCTGAACACTTTCCAGTCAGAGAGGAGGGACTGGGCCTTGAACCACCTGACAGTGCACCAGTCCACGGGAGCTCTTTATGTGGGAGCCGTCAATCGAATTTACAAGCTTTCTTCCAATCTCACCCTGCTGGTTTCTCACGACACTGGACCAGAGTATGACAACAAAGCCTGCTACCCTCCTCTCATTGTCCAGCCCTGCTCGGAGCCACTTGCCTCCACAGATAACATCAATAAACTTTTGCTCATTGACTACTCGCACAACCGGCTGTTGGCGTGTGGCAGTCTGTACCAAGGGGTCTGCAAGCTCATGAGATTGGACGACCTCTTCATTTTGGTTGAACCCACGCATAAGAAAGAACATTATTTATCCAGCGACAACCAGACGGGGACCATGTTTGGGGTGGTGGTGCCGTCTCAAGGCCAAGACGCTACTTTGTACATAGGCACCGCTGTTGGAGGCAAGCAGGATTATTTTCCGACCATCTCCAGCCGCAAGCTACCTCGTGACCCAGAATCCTCCGCCATGTTTGACTACGAGCTCCACACCGATTTTGTGTCGTCTCTAATCAAAATCCCGTCGGACACGCTGGCTCTCGTACCGCACTTTGATATCTACTACATCTACGGCTTCGCGAGTGGCAGCTTTGTCTACTTCATGACCGTGCAACCGGAGACCCCTGAGAATGGGATGCCCGCCGGCAGCTCTCCCAGTGACCTGTTCTACACCTCTCGCATCATTCGCCTGTGTAAAGGTGACAAGAAGTTCCACTCGTACGTGTCTCTGCCGGTGGGCTGCGTGCACAGAGGTGAGGAGTACCGGTTGCTGCAGGCGGCGTATCTGTCAAAGGCCGGGCGAGTCTTGGCCCGAGCTCTGAACATCAGTGCTCAGGAGGATGTGCTGTATGCGGTGTTCTCCAAAGGGCAGAAACAGTACACCGACCCCCCGGACCACTCGGCCTTGTGCGTGTTCACCATACAAGACATCAACACACGCATCAAGGAGCGGCTGCAGTCGTGCTACCAGGGCGAAGGTCACCTGGAGCTGCACTGGCTCCTGGGGAAGGACGTCCAGTGCACCAAGGCCGTGAGTGGTTTTTTAATGTCTACCATGTCTTTTCCTGCATGTAGGATTATTGCATTGCACTAAATGATAAAATATGAGGTGACAGATGCTTGAACAAGATTTTCCGATGGGATAAAGCCATTTAGCCTTTTTTCAAGAACTCTTGCTTTATTTTCTCATTCCAAGGGAGATATATTTTTAAAACAAGATCTGTCCCATTGTAAAATCTTGTTTTAAGGCAGTCGAAATGTGCTCAAATTAAGATACATGTTGCCAAATTGTACCTATTTTTCATCACTTTTTGCAATAATATTACAGTATAGCATTTTTCAAATTCATGTACACCAAAGGATAAACAATAAACAGGAAGAGATTATATAAGAGATTCTTTATTAGTAAGGAGCACACAAAATGTACAATATAAGTAGCTGGAATGCTATCTGTAAATGCCTCATAAAAGTAGCGAGTAATGAATCTTTACAAATCAATTATATACAGAGATGATTTACATGTCTGGCAGGATAATAAGTAGGTAAAGTGACATTCAGTGGATCTTCTGAAATTGCAGTATTGCTCATTGCACATGTTTGCAGTGTTTACAATTTCCAGAAGAGATGACATGTATACAATAAATAGCAATACAGTTTCAAAAGGGGTTGGACAGTATTATTTGGTTCTAACCGCTCTTACTCACACAATAAAGCACACACACATTCACGCAGACACACATACACACTGTTGAAGAAAAAAATAAAAAATAGTAATCGTCGTAAATTGAAAGAAAACAGACAAACATTCAATCTAATCGTCTTTGTCTTTTTATCCGGAACAGAACATTCCATTCTCATTAGACGAAAATGACTTTCTTTTATAAGTAAGTTTGTTCCATGTGCAAATATGTTTTCCAGCGTTATGACCCTGTAAGAGGAATCGTAACATGTCGGTCAATGTAAACAATACATTTACAATACAATACATTTTACCAAATTTGAGCAATTCAGAATGGACTCAAATTAAGATAAAAACCATTTGATTCAACAATTATAACCTCATATTTAATCATTTTTTACTGTCCTTTGGTCAATAATCACTTTTACTAATACAATAGCTAATAACTATTCATTAAATTGCAAAAACTGTCCTTATAGCTGTTCCAAGCCATAGAGCACAATATGTGTCAACAATAATAAGCCACTTACCCATGGCCATAATGACAGCTGTTTGAATAACTAATTATTTGTTTTTGATCATTGGGATATTTTCATCCTTTATCTTCAGCTCACACGTTTTATGCAACAGCGGTACAGATCTACTATTCCGGTGTCGCCTTGATCTAAACCACTATTGTTGTCGCTGCCTTAATAGCTGATATAAAGCTGGGCTCAAAACATCATTCATGGGTTTAGGGTCCCACAAGGAGATTAATTCACAGCACTAATCACAGAGTTTTGTGTGAGGCTTTGAGTCCATTCAGAGCTTTCGCCTGCCATCCCCCCTCTCCCCTCCTCCTCCTCCTTCCTCTTTCTCCTCTCCCGGCTTCTTCAAGTCGCTGTCCGCTGGATTTGGGCCTTCTGAGACCTGCTCTTGATCTTCAGAAAGGATTTTATTCTCGCAAAGGTCCAAGCCAGTGCCTTTTGTGAAAGCTGTAATTCTGTATAATGAGCAGCTTTGGTTTAGAGAAGCTCGAAAACAATAATATTCGCCACTGCCACAGCATTCTACCAAGTGAATTTAATCATAATGCATTAGTTTGTAGACGTGTAGAATTTCTGGAGGTTGTGTTTGTGTTTAACTAAGAGAGTGGTGGAGAATGTTTCTAGAATCAGAACCAGCATCAGAATTCTTTTTTGTGTGCCACTGTAAATAACAGGAAGTTACAAATTCACAAACTAGGACTTTGCTAAGGTTTGCATAAAAATAGAATAAAAACATCGGCATAACATTTCTTAAAATGACTTTATACAAATGCACCGCCCCACTCTCTGGAACTCACTCCCACAACCCATCACTCCGACCTCACTACATAACTTTAAATTTCTTTCCTTAATTTTTTTAATTTTGTGAAGTGTCTGAGAATGTCCAAAAAATGATATAGGTTTGATGTATTATTATTATTAAAAGAACACTTAAAAACCTTAAAGTTATTACTGTACATACAAGTGCACTATCATTGACTGCCAGTAAACATATTCCTATACATTTACATTCAAAGCAAGGCATCCAATCATTTGTAAGAGAAAAAATACAAAATTTTCCACTGAATTTATTGGTTATAAAATAAAGAGTGATTCTAGACGGTAGAGTCCCACAATGAAAGACAAGCAATTAGCAGCAGTGTGATGTGCATGTACAGTAATGCGATGTCTCTTGACTGTTAAGCATGCTGCTCTTTGATGCCAAATCACGACCTGTCATCTATTGCTCTGTGTCTGTGTGATGTCGGATCAAGCAGCACCCGAATCACAGAAAACGTGTGCAAACCACATAACATTTGGTGTGTTTGCCATCTGCAATTAGCCCACTTCACAACTCGGCTCGCTGCGAGGGCTGTTGATAAATTCACGATCTTTTGAAGTAGCCATTCTTAACCCAGAAATCTTGTGCTTAATGTGTCTTGGTTTTAGTCCAAGTCAGTTTGAGTACTCTTCTCATATGCATACGTGTCAGAAGCCATCTCACTCATTTTCTGTCTTTATTCCACCCTCTGATCAGCTCAGAACCACTTTGGTCGTTATGGCACAGCTCCTCCCCAGAACCTCCGAACTGTCTGTACCTTTTCCACCCATCCACCAAAACACATCTGCATCCCACTTACAAGCTGCTTTCTGAGTGAAGAAGTGAACATATTTGCATGTTCAAGAGATTTTAGAGGTGAATTGTTTGGATTATTATAAAAATTAGATATTGATAAGACTAAATATGGCTCTGTACACCCCAATGTCTTTATTTGAAAGGGGCAGTGCACAATAATATTAAGATAAAATTGTTTTGCACTAGATTATAACTACTCTCCGGTTACATGAAAAAACAAAAGGAGAAATGAAAATAAAATTGATTTGTGGTGTACTTATACTCCTGCTCTGTCGTCAGACACAAGAATAGAAAATCAAAACTGGGCATGATGTGATCCCAATGAATTTTCTTAATTTACAGTTTCAAAAGGCTCTCAAAAACTCCGCAGTATTGAAAAAAAAACAGAAACAGAAAATAATGACCTTATTTTATCATGATGTGATTGAGAGTGCAATAATTTAGTATGGTTTGGAAATGTGACTGTAAAACCAAAAGCAGAACTCTACAGATTAGTGTGAGTAACACTTCAGGTCATGGGGAGCATCGGCCATTGCAACAGATATTTGAGGAGACTGTTATTAGACAAGCAAAGAAAATCACCTCAGACCACTCTCGTGATTTTTACTCTCAGTATGAGCTTCCACCGTCCGTCAGAGTCCCAACGAAAAATAAATGATCTCTCAACCAGTATAGGAACTGGTTCTGCTTGATATCTGTGAACCTCGTGAATACAGACCATCAAAAAAACAAGAGAGAGACACTAGAGAGAGGCCAGAAAGAGACTAGAGAGAGAAACTAGAGAGACAAGAAAGACAGACCAGAGAGAGACCAGAGAGAGAGAAGAGAGACCAGATAAAGAGACCAAGAGACCAGAGAGGGACTAGAGAGAGACTAGAGAGAGACCCGAGAGTCCAGCAAGAGAAACTAGAGAGAAACTCACTGCTAATAAAACATATAACTGACAGATTACCGCTAGATTCGCGTCCAAATTTAGTCCGAGAAGGTCCCGCTCCTGCAGGTCTCTCCAGAGGATACGATTTAAGCTAACGCTATGTATCTATTCACCCGGGCTTGATTTCTTCTTTGATCATTTTTTTTGCCTTAGTTCCCTCTTCTCTTCCTCACTATTGCATCGTTTGGGATGTTTTTCTGTGTATGCAGTTACAGCCAGAGGAGCTACAGCCACTTCCTGCTAACAGGCTGCTGTGTTTACCTGCGCTGTAGACACTAAAGGAGACCTGGCCTGTTTGCTGTAGACACTGGAGGAGGCTGTAGATGCTAGAGGAGGCAGCCTGTTTGTAACAGCGCCCCTCCTCGTTCTGTGATTGGAGGAGAACGAGCGTCTCTCTAAGTTTCTACACTTCTTTTTACGGCCTGAATTCATATACAAGCTGAATCAATGAGCTCAAGTTTTCAGTTAAATTACGGATTTTAATACAACTTGCATGTAGTAATACGCATTTTTATGAACTGAACAAAAAAATAAATTGGGTATAGCTTCTTTAAGTGACTGTCAGTTCTGTGTAATTATTTTTGTTACAATAAATACAATATTTCAGCATCATGGTAAATCGCCTGTTAACAACATTGCCAGGGAATGATTATCTCTCTGCCTTAACTTGAGAATGACACAACATGAATTGAGTTTTACCCCTCTGTCTGTCTCTCTGTCTGCAGCCTGTTCCAATCGATGAGTATTTCTGTGGCCTGGACATAAACCAGCCCTTAGGGGGGTCCCAGCTGGTGACAGGGCACACTGTGTTCGCGGAGGGCCGGGACAGGCTGACCTCTGTCACCTCCTACCTCTACAACGGGCATAGCGTGGTCTTTCTGGGCACCAAGAGCGGACGCATCAAGAAGGTATCGAGTGAAAGAGTCCTATCTTCATAAAATGACAATGACTTGATACATAGACACATTACATAGACCAGGGGTGTCAATTCCAACCCCAGCAGGAGCACGCAAGACTCCACCCATTTCCTCAGGTGTGTCCAGTTTTAACCTTTAGATTTGAGGAAATAGGAGTAGTCTTGTTGGAACTAAAACCCGCATCTAGACCAGCCATGGTAATCTAACTAAAGGATTGTCGTTTTGAACCTGGTGAGAGGGGTGTAGCACTGTGGCTTGAGTTACAAATCTTCAATTATTCATTAGATTCAAAGCAGATTTGTCAAGATCATTTCTTAGGTCAGAACTGCAAATCCTGAGCAGAAGACTTCCAAGACACCAGCATGAAGGGTGTATCGACTTGGATATCCACTGCAAAAAGTGAGGAAAAAAGAGTCAAAATTGGCTAAATGTATCTTACTTTGAGCACATTTTGACTGGAATGAGAGATTAAAATACCATAGCTATTTCCCATTGGCAAATCAGTCAGAAGGTACTCAAATTAAGTAAAAAAACACTTGATTTAAGCAATGATTACCTCATATTTTATAATTGTTTGCAGTCCAGGAGCTCTGGTCAGCTTCACTAGTAGCTCATCTCTACGTAAATCACACCTGGTCTGATGGTGTCACATTGTTGTCTCCATGGAGATAATTAACATCCAGGAAAAGTACATTTTAAGCAGAGAAGCAAATTCCACCATCAATTAATTCAATTTAATGTTTTCTTATTAAGCCTTAAATGACTACAGTAGTTATCTTGGAGGACTTTACAAAACCGTTGAGTTCGCCAACACAGATCAGAGAATCAAACAGTACAATCACAATAAGAACACACAGAGTCATTGGTTCATAAGGGGTAGACGACCAATGTTCATAAATGTTGAAAAAGTCCATAAAGGTTGTTGAATGATCAGCGTCCTGGATCATCACCACTGACCTTATACCCTCCCGCAATTAAGCAGTATCCTTTTTTAGAATACAATCTCCTCCCTCGCAGTGGGAAGAGAATAAGATAATCATCAATGACTCACAGTCACATACACACACTGCATTTCACCATGACCTTTCCCCAGAGGTTATTAAAGCTGATTCAGCCCATTGTCCGTCATCTTTCATTGCAGTGTATTTTTTAATGATACATTCTTGCCGAGCTCCTGTAGGGCTCATTGTTTGACGAAGCTGGAGAGACCGGGTTTCTCTGCAGGCTGAGCTTTCTGCCGAGTCTTGCAGCATGCGGCGATGTGTTGATGGACTGTAGTGACATTAGCCTGGGGCCCCACAGTCTTATGAGGAGCAATCTGTCTGACACACAACACTCACACACTGTAGGCTCGGTCCACACACTGGCAGCACTGATAACATCGCTACAGCTCTTTTATTGAAGGCGCCAGCGGGGCAGAAGAGGCTTGATAGTGCGGAAGAGAGAGTCACACTGGGGTATGGAGGACCGACAGTGGAGCACAGGATGTACAGAGACGACGAGGAGTTTTAGGGGGAAACAAAACATTAGTAAGTATAGCAAAGTAATCTTCATTCATACGGCACATTTTCACAGACCAAGGTCACCAAAACGCTTTACAATTGTTGAGAGTTCAGATATTTTTTCCGTTGTTTCCCCACAGTGATGACGGTAGCAAGACGTCGAACACATTGGCTCATCAAAGCCCGCAATCAACACTCACTGATTACATTCATACCTATTGTACATCATTTTAAAGTGAAAAGGGTAACCTACGCAGACACAGGGAGAACATGCAAACTCCACATAGATGGGCCTGGAGGTGGAATCGAACCCAGGACCCCTCCAACACCGTGTCGCCCTCACATGATCTATTTCAAGGTTCAACTTTATTGTCCGTTCAGAGAAATTTGTCTCGGGCTCATAAATGATGGATAAAAACATACAAGACACTCAACATCTGGAGAATTAGCTCGACTGCACAATTTTGACAAAAGAATATGCCGTAATATTGCACACTGTCCCATCAGTGCAATGATACGAAAAAATACACTAGTAAAACACCACAAATAAAAACAATATTTCCACAATAAGCAACAAAGTGCATTAAATCACTAAAGTGCTAGTGCTTGTGCTTTTCCATTATCTGTTAAACTGATTTTTTCAAACCTGGATTTCGCAGCCAAGATCAATAATTGGAAATTGGATCAAAAATAGTAAATGGTCAGAGGCACTTTGACCTAACTTGAAAATTCTTAGCTAACTGGACATTGCGATGCGTTTCGACCACTCTCAGGTCTTTGCCGAGGCTTGTGTGTCTTAAACTGAGATTTTCCCACTGTAGGATGCAGGGACGTGCGGTGAGGTTTGTGATTGGGGAGGCACTGACTTTAAAAGTCAGATTTACAATCATTATTCAAATTAAAATAGCATTTAATCACCAATGCAATGACATCCACAAACTTTATATACTGTCATTTAAGATACAACAAATCTACTGCTGGACCTGCTCCGCATCAAAAAAAATCTTTAAGAAGCGCAGGTGCGAGAGACGCGAGGAGAGAGAGACGCGAGGAGAGAGGAGCAGAGAGAGACGAGAGGAGCAGAGAGACGGAGACGCGAGGAGCAGAGAGAGACGGAACGCGAGGAGAGAGAGACGCGAGGAGAGAGGATGCAGAGAGAGACAGAGAGGAGCAGAGAGACGGAGACGCGAGGAGCAGAGAGAGAACGGAGACGCCGAGAGAGATAGACGCGAGGAGAGAGGAGCAGAGAGAGGACTAGAGGATGCAGAGAGAGACGGAGACGCGAGGAGCAAGAGAGACCGCGAGGAGAGAGATGACGCAGAACATAAACAAGAATTTAAACAAGTTGCAGAACTCTTGAGCAGTGTTTGAATCAGTTGTTTTTCGGAAAAAGCCACAACTTTGCGGTATCTGTCAATGTTCAACCCATAAAACACAGATTAACAACTGCCTCCCCCGCAGCCCGGACTAACCTCGTAAGTCCAGTGGTGTCCTCCCAGTCTATATTAATTCTTTCTTGTTTGAGAAAGTCCAAATGAGAAAAAAAATCTCAAGAACCACGCTCAAAAAACAACCAAAAACCCCAAAGATTACAAACAAAAAACAAGAAATTCAATTCATCCATTTTTCACAAAAAAATAGCATTTTGGGCTGATTGTTTTGTAGCAACTCTGGTATGGAACTTTATGCTCACTATCACCCCTCAGCGGTGAGGGAGCGGTCTTGTGTGTTCATTTCAAAAACTAAAACTAAATATTTGTAACAGGGTCGTTCATTTGTTATGCTAGAGATCAGTGAGCCTGTCTTGGGGTGAAGGCACGCAGGAGCGCTGCCTCACCTCGTCTCTTTGAATAGGAATAACGGGATTTCGGCGATTTTGACTTCAGAAATGATCAAAACTGATGGGAACCGTGCCGAATATACATTAAAAGCATAGGACAGTGGATATAAATTATATATTTAAACTAAAATAATTATTAGTTTCCAATAATGGCAGGTGAGGCTCTGCCTCCCCTGCCTCCCCTGACTGCACGTCCCTGGTAGGATGCATACATGGTCTCTTAATCTTAATCTGGAATTCGAATCCTGGTCGGAACAGGGCCTTTCTGAGTGGAGTTTGCATGTTCTTCCCGTGTCCGGGTACTCTGGTTTCCCCTACCACTAAAAACATGTACAATAGGTCTGGCATGCGCCTCCTGTACTGGCGACCCCGCTCCCATCTCTGTGTGGAGGACAAATGCCCACAATTGTACACCGCCTTGTGACTCTGGTCTGTAAAAGGGGGTATATACTGTACATAAAAAGAACTTACTTACTTAATCTTAATATCAAACAGACAGCTAAACCATTCCATTGCCTGCATGTTGTCCAAATACACCCCATGCACAAACAAAAGTCTGGTGTATGTACGAGTCGGCCATCACTAACGAGAGGAGGCGTGTCCCAACCCAAATGAATGAATCGAAAAGAATCATTACTAGAAGCTGTCTATATTTGACACAATAGCTGAAGCCCCACATAAAACTCCCTGGAGACAAAGAGGTGCGCAGAGGTCACATCTCCAGTTCTATTCAATCACCCCCAAATGGACAGCCAGTGGAAATGGGGCATGACAACAAGTACAAGCCGATCAATCAGGGAGCCAGGCCACTGCAAAGGTCACCACTACCGAGTAAATGGGGGTTAAAAAGGCCAGGGGATAACCAAATCTACTACTAAAGCACCGCGCAGAATACATATGTGTCCATCAACCATGTGAGATTAACATGTAGAGCCTTTAAATCGATCAGTACCTGTCAATCAAGCCAGACCTCCCCCAAATTCAAATGCAAATATCTAATCATATGATAAAGAAGGGACATGTCAAACAACCAAGACCTGTTTGGGGCGAGATTGTTTAAAAAAGACATTTAACGTTTTTGTTACGAATGCATAAATCCATAATTTTGTGTTCATATATTCATTCTATATCCTGTATATCTTTATTTATCTCAATCACGTTAGCATTGTGAATATATTTGGAATGATCCGATATATTGCTGAACTTGTTCGGTACCTTAAATGGAGTATTCTGATTTGAATCCCGTCATTTGTTGTCTGCACATTGCTTTGAAAGGAATGATTTGAAAATAACTTGACAATGAAGCATCACATTTTTGACATTAAAGCTGGGGTGTGTAAGTTTCAAATCACTGATAATAAAACTCGAAACACTTGGGTCCTATCAATAGTGATTTTTTTAAGCTGGTCACAAATTTGCATCAGGTTTTTCATACGGAAGACCTCCTTCACTCAATCAGCTCTCAAAACCAAAGAATCAATTAGTTAATTAGGCTCTTTCTTATACCGAGGCAAAAGATTAAAGAGCTGGTAAAGAACTTGCTGGGACGGTTACAACATTTAGCAAAAAGTCTCTCAAAAAAGGCATGTGTTTACATTTACTAAATACATTTCTTCAATACCTACATTGCATCTATAATTGCATGTTCA